CAGAGGTAACTGCAGCTCTTTGACTTAGCCTCCTCCTGTCTATGTCCACAATCAAAAAATTGCCCACTCTGTGTTCAGTTATTGTTAGCTGACTCCTTCATCAAGTACACTGGTAGGCATCTCCTATTCATGCTTTAGTCATTATAAGGAACAAAACAGATGTGATGTTCTTGCTCATAGCCTTTGCCTGATGTTAGAGGAGGCATACAAGATGTAGAAAACATAAAAAAAAAAAAACCATGCCCTGCATGTGGTTAGTCCCAGTGGTAGGTATGACGACATCTCAGCAGAGATAAGGATGGACAATGACTCAGCAGCATTAATATTTCTATGGGAGTGTGACAAAAAATGCCTGGATCTGATGACAACAACATGGATTTCCTAGAGTAGCAGTGGATCTTTCAGTTCCTCTCTTGGGCTCATCTGCCATCCCCATCCTGTTCTTCCAAACACCTTCACTCTATGACAAGTCAGGTAGAAAACCTAGACCATACTGTGGCTTAGAGAAGTTTCTGTAGGCTAGGAAATGTAAAAAATGTTCTTTTGAAATCTAAGTGCCTCTGTCTGTATTCCTGATGGCCATTATTCCAACCCTAGAGACTAGATGACACACTCTCTAGATAACCATGTGAAAAAACAGGTTTGAAGATTAAGCATTTTGCTCAAATTTATGTGGTAAGGAACAACTGGAATTTGGGACTTTAAATCTAATGTTTCATGATGAATGAAAGCCTACTATCCATTACAGGTTATGATTAAAATTTTATTTGTGAAGCTGATGTGGTGGCTCACACCTTTAATCCCAACACATTTAAAGCAGAGGCAGGCAATCACCATGATTTTGAAGACAGCCAGTTCTACATAGCAAATTTCAGGCCATCCAGGAGTACACAGTGAGACTCAGTCTCAAAGAAAACTAAACAAAAAACTATTTTTTGATCTTATTAAATAATCACAGCAAGCCCGAAAAGAAGTTGTTCTTCTCTTTTGCTGTGGTCAAGGACTTTGTAAATGATCAAATTTATCTGAAGTCAGAGTACTTGTTGGTGTTTCCACTCATGTCTCTCAAGGTAAAAACTTATGCTTGTGGAAAGCTAAGATGCAGGCCCTTCTGAGTTCACATTGGATTTATATTCTGTGTATTCTGGAAGGCTTTATTTATACATCCAGAGTTAGTTACTTTGTGTCATTAAATAAATCAGAACAGAGAAAGTTATATATCAAGGCAAATTCAGCATATATTGGTGACCACATCAGAGACTTGGTTACAGAAAGATAGAAGCTTTTCTACAGGTCATCAGATGAAGTTCCTTGCTTTCAGGTTGGTGGAGTTAGTGGTCTGCTAAGCTGATAGCATTAAAAGGATTTTTTATCTATTAGTCACAGGATGTTAGTTCTGACATAGTGGGCAAAAAAGGCTACTTAGGGGCTAAAGATAGCCTGTGATAAGGTAAATAGCCTCTAAATCTACAACGTTCCAACCTCTCTATTGCATTGTAATTTTAATCAGCATTTGTCTTTGCTGACACAGTTTCTTTCCAGAAATCATCGTTCACAAAAACACAAGCAAAACTCACATAGAAGAAAAATTCACCTTTTCTCATCTCTAAAATTATCAATTGTGAATATTTGTGTATACCAAATGGTAGACTATATAAGTTAACAAGAGGGAGTATTATATTCTATACCAGAGTTCCTTAAATGTATATCTACTTTAATTCCTTGACTTCATGCATAAAATATCTAAGTATGTTCTAAAGTATATCATATGTAGTTCTTAAACTAACAACAAACTATTATAAAACAACTTGAATGTTTAGCAGTAGATATTTCTAATTAATTTATGCCATGTACAACTGACTGATAATTGTATATTTCTTTAAAATCTTGTATATCAATGTTTATGAAATGTAGAAATATGAACTGATTATTAGAAAATATAAATAAAAAAATGGTATAAATTGGTACAGTATTATGCAGCTATAACCCCTGCACTGAAGAGACAAATCTAGAGGACTGTGAATTTGAGGTCAGACTGTGCTACATAGAATAAATATAATAACTGTCTCAATAAACAAACAAACAAACCAATTAACCAATCAAAAAACAAACAAAACAAAACATAAAAGCTTATGTCTATAGCTGAGTGATAAAGCATTTGCTGAGCTTGCTCAGTGTCTTAGATTTGATATCCCAGCACCATGAATACATCAGCCATAAAACTGCTTTGTGTGGGCTGGGCAGTGGTGACACATGCCTTTAATCCAGTACGTAGGAGGCAGAGGCAGTTGAATCTCTTTGAGTTTGAGGCGAGCCTGGTTTACAAAGAGAGTTCCAGGACTGCTAGGACAGTTACACAAAGAAAGCCTCTCTCAAAAAATCAGAAGACAAACCAAAACAAAGCATGAAACCTCCTCCATATGGAATGACATCAACATTCCCAGTAAACATTCTCTGTGATTGAAAAGCAAGAATATACAGCAAGAGTTTCTCAGTGGAGTGAATGATTTTAAAGTGAGCGCTTTAAAGGAATCTGAAAACACACCTACCTGTAATAAACATACCTTGAAAACAAGAAATGCGTTTTCTTTTCCAATAGTAACGAAAGGGAAATTTTCCAACAGCCTGTTAAAAAATTAAGAGTGGGGGAATGTCAGTCACTTCTCTCTACTACTGGTTTTTCTAAGGACACTGGTTTCACTTTCTCGCAGGTATGTTCACCTTAGCTTTCAAATATTGATTATGGACATGATTTGTAGTATCTGACATGATATGTTGGTTCTTTCCTTTTGGTCAGCATCAGCTTTCATCATGCAGTTTCCTCTTTGCAGTTTCTGTAAGGAGGAGGGGCTGACAATCATGAGCTGGAGTATCATTCAGAGGCTATTCAGTTCTGCCTTTTCTCTTGGAGCTCTGAGAGGACCTGGCCTGGGAGGAAAGTTCAACTTGTCCCTCACTTGCAGGGCTCAGTTCACTTCACCAGAATCACAGGTAACTGCTGCTTTTATTTTATTTCTATCACATGATCTTTTGTACTCTAGAGAATTTCACAAGGTTTGACTTGAGAGCGGGATTGGTTGGGAAGCCCTATTGTCTGGGTTAGATCTGGTTGACTCTGGCGGTATGTGAAAACTGGAGTTCAGCACTAGTTATTTTCTTTCTGAGTGAGAAGAGACTTCTGTGTGCTAAGAAAATAATGTGGAGGGATCTCTGGAGTTTATTACTCTTTAACTGCATCAAATATTTATATATTATTTATCTTGAAGAAGTCATAATAGGAGCCAGGTAAGATGGCTCCGTGCGTAAAATACCCTATACATGCCTGCCTGACTGCCTGAGTTATATCTTTAAAACAAACATAAAACTGGAATGAGATAATTGAATCCATTATGGGCATTAACGACTGCAGCATAATGACAAAATTTATTTTCATGTAGGCTCGTCCGGCAACATTATATACTGGAATATAACATGTGAAATTATTGTGTACATGAGATGATTTGATATTTAAACTTAAGGTTTTATTCTGCTATGCTTCTCTCTATTGGTGCCACACACCACCCTTCCAATGCCCCTTTCCACCTTCCTGGTTGCTGCAGTTACTCCAGGTTTTGTAGCATGTCTGAGGACTTTCAGACAGGACCCACAGATAGGAAAGACCTTCTGGCCTTTGTTTTCTGGGTCTGGGTTACCCCGCTCAGTAGGATCATCTCTCCTTTCTTGCATTTACCGGGTCTGATCCTGGAGATCAATGTTTAGACTGTGGTTGGGTAGAGAGGTTGGACAGCTTAGGATTGAGCATTAACCCAAAAAAATATCTATGTGTCTTGTAGCCCAAAATGTTAATCATCTTCAGGATTAATCTTTAAATACTTTTTTTTCTTCTTTTATTTATTTATATTATTTAATTAAAAATTTCACCTCCTCCCCTCCTCCCATTTCCCTCTTGCTCCCCCCATTCCCTTCCCCTCCCTCTCCAGTCCAAAGAGCAGTCGGGGTTCCCTGCCCTGTGGGAAGTCCAAGGTCCTCCCCCCTCCATCCAGAACTAGGAAGGTGAGCATCCAAACAGACTAGGCTTCCACAAAGTCATTACATGCAGTAGGATCAAAACACAGTGCCATTGTCCTTGGTTTAAATACTGTTTTTAAGGTGTTTTTTCAGAGACTCTGAGAATCATGTACAATTTAAAAAACTGTAAGAACATTTTTATACTTGTGCATTTATCAATATATGTAACTAAATTTAAAGAAAAATTTTATTTGTTTTTTATTTAAATAATAGTTTTTCTTGGATTTTACATACCAATCAGTTTCCCCTCCTTCTTCTCCCCTTTCGCATTCTACCACCACATCCACTCCTCCTCCATCTCCATTCAGAAAAGGACAGGCCTCCCATGGTCTTGCACAAAAGTTGGCTCATTTAGTTGGGGAAAGACCAAGTTCCACCCTTACGTCTTTGAGAAATGGACAGGTAACCCAGCATGGGGAACAGATTACCAAAAGCCACCTAAGTGCCAGGGAAAGGTCCTGCGCTGAAAAGCTAGGCTCACAGCTAAAAACAATTATTTATTCAGAAATCTTTGACTTTTTGTTATTTGAATTGTTAGTGTTAAAGTTTTTCAATGATTTTTTTCAGTGGTACCAATTTTTCCTAACATTTCTATATTTGTTGAATATTTGAACAAATAGGCTGTGCCAATATTACAATAACTTATTAGTATATTTTTAAATTCATTCTGTATTTTCTGATAATAATTACTGTGACTAATAGCAATATAAATGACTTTAGTGGAAATCTTCAAAGACTTCTCACCTCTAGTGGAATTCAAGGTCAGTCCCTGTTAGGATGTTTGGATTGCTATAGAAGTCAGATCCCACCCCTTCCTATCACACTGCAGCATCAGATCCAGGTATCTTCCTAATGATGGAAATTTTAACCTTTTCTTAAGAAATCACTCAAGGTCGGGTTTTAAAGCAAAGCATACTTTACTTACGATCAAGATGAGTGATGAAGAGATCACTTATGCAACTGTGAGATTTGGTAAATCTTCGGAATTGCAGACCAGAGGAAGGAAGGACGAGAATCAAGGGCCGAGACGAACTGTTCACAGAGGTAAACGTTTTAAACATTTAAATTCACTTGGATTTTATGCCTTGTAACTTTTGACATTTGAAAACAATATCCTACTGGCTTCCATTGAAAACAGTTGAGCTATACAAGAGTAGAAGGGAGGTGAGTGTGAGTAGGAAAACATCATGTACAAAACTGTTCAAAAATTAGTTAAAAAATAAAATAGTCAATTTTTAAAATAAAAAAAACAGATAAAGAGAGTGAAAAAATGCAACTCTACCTCTACTTCTAATTAGTAATTGGCGAATTAGAACAATAGGAGTCTATAAGCAAATGATTTTGAGAATCAAGTAGTGAGAAGTTAATACTTTCTGTCAAATTTGAAAAAAAAACATTAGGAGGTCTTAATTTAGTTTAGTCAAGATGAATTCTGAAACTTTTAAAAATAGCAGACAAACTGCAGTCTGAAGAAAACCAAATCTTTGAAGAGTAACAAATCTCAAAGAAATGAAATGCATGCATTAGAAGTAATACTTTCAACGTAAGGTGCTTTAACTGTCTGAAGTATTCCCAAGATCTAATGCAACGAAGCCGCAACAATAGTCCATCAGATGAGAAAGTCTCTTGGGAAAAAGGCTGCAGAGGAAGCGGAGGATAGGAAAGGGTAGTGAGGGTGGGGAAGACTAAATCATACTGCATTTAAAGAAATGTGGAAGAAAATTGAGTTTATTAATAAAAAGCGGGAGTCTTTTCTTTTCTTTCTTTCTTTCTTTCTTTCTTTCTTTCTTTCTTTTTCAAGACAGGGTTTTTCTGTAGCTTTGGAGCCTCCCCTGGAACCCACTTTGTATACCAGGCTGGCCTCGAACTCACAGAGATCCACCTGCCTCTGCCTCCCGAGTGCTGGAATTAAAGACGTGAGCCATCATTTTTTTTTTTCTGTACACAGTCTGCTCACACTGTCACAAATTGACTCCAGCTGAGAGCCTTTACTTCTTTTACCAGGTGATAATCAGATGCATGGCTATCATATTTCCAACACCTCAGATACACAAAAGTGTTCAGTATTGTCTGAAGAAGACTGGATTTAGGGGGAAAAAGAGAGAGTTAACTTTAGGATCCTTTAAGAATGAGCCTGTATACAGGTCAGCTCCAAACTGCAAAGGTTCTCTACAGTTCTCAAGAACACTGACCCTCTTTCCTTCCTCCTCATCCTCAGTTATGCTCACTTGGTGGACTGCATACTCCAATTTGGGGTCTTCTACTTGAACTATGTCTGTCCTTCCAGTGCTTTTTGAAGGATGCACTTTTGATCGTGTAGAACTGGGGGAGGAGGGGCACATGTCTTGCCATCCAGCTACTTCTAGGCTGAGAGAGGAGGACTGAGAACACAAAGCTAAAGGTGAAAAAAGCTTGGAATCCTATGAAACTTCTCAAATGTAACATCTCTACGGTAGGTAAATTTTAGGGAGAGATCTACAATTTAGAAAGCACATGTTCAGTCAGGTTGTAAGATGGACTTCTGTAAAATTTTTAGAGACCATGTTATGCAAATTTATGATTTGTAAAAGGATGCGCTCTTTTCATGGTGATAATTTCTTGCTTTGCTTTGTTTATTTAAGAGTGTTTAGCCCCCTGGTACCTCATTGCAATATCTCTGGGAATCCTTTGTTCCTTTCTGGTGGCCGTTGCAGTGTTGGTGGCATATCGTGAGTAATTGATAAATATCTTCTTTGCCTTTCTTTCTAAGTAATAACTTTAGACACTACTTATGCAGTTAACACTGTCCATTGTCCTGGCTATAATCATTGAATGTGCCATATAGTTCTGGACTTTGGATGTTTTCTTCCTGATGCTACAGTATCCTCTTCTCTTACATACCTATCTTATTAACTCTGCGACTGTTAGGAGCTGCCTCATTTTGTCTCAGTTTTGGTCATACTCCTTTTGATGACTTGGTGGCAGTTTGCCTTCTGAGGAATTTGTGATAGTCAGCCTTCTGAACTTAGGTGATTGTGAATCTTAAATAAGCATTCTGTGAGAAACAGATATGCAAAAGAAATGATGATTGTTTATTAAATTTACTCTGTGAATGTTAAGTTAAATGAAAATAACTCATTTTGTACAGAGACATTAAAGCTTGAGATTTTTGAGGTTTTGTCGAATGTTTAGAGAAACTCTCAGTCTGGGCTAAAACACATTTACATGTATGGATATTATGCCTTCCAAAGACTCCAGTAAGTATTGTATCATTTCTTAATACTTCTTCATTCACATTTTCATATTGTGTTAAGTGTTCACTGAGTATTTTACTTAGTTATTTATTTGTAAGTTTTGTGGTGTTTAAATGTGAAGTAATTGGCAGGTATGGTGCTTCCACTACAGTTTTATTAGCTGTACCAATCATTTACTTTAGACTGAAATTGCTGATAGAACTCTGCTGATATACAGAAACTGATATTTCAATCTCTATAGTCAGTTGATATGTTACTTTCTAAACCTTAAAGTACAAATGACAGTAATGACATATGTTGGTGTACAAATGAAATTTTTTTCTCTAATCTTAGATTTTAATACTTATTCCATATGATCATTTTTTGGTGTTATATCTGCTCTTATTCTTAGTTTCTCAGGATAGTGGAAACAACCATGAACTGCAGAAAACTCTAAACAGCCTCACTCAACAGTATCACACCCTGCAAAGTAACAACTCCGTAATGAAAGAAATGCTGAGAAATAAGTCTAGAGAGCTTGATGACTACAAACGTCAGAAGGAACTTGACTCCTCCAACAAAGAACGAAACAGATGCTGTGGGGAAAGTAAAGTTTTAGACTGCACACAGCTCACAGGTATGGAGGGGATCTTGAATAAAAAATTTCACTATTCTGTACTGACTCTTCTCCAGAAGATTTAAAGTCCAGTTAACCACTTTTAACACTGGTGATCTGTGGGTTATTGGTTGAGGTTTTTTTTATTTCATGTAGGGGTAAGGAACCCTGGAAATCCTAAATCCTTGTTTGGATTAGGATAATCTTATAGTATCTAAAACTCAGGGGTCTTTGGGTGCTCCTAATGCTACCAGTGCGTGGAATTATAGTTCATTGCAGCTAAGAATTCAAGTTATTTTTTTTTCCAATTTTTATTGAGAAAAGGAGAAAAAAAAAACAAGTTTCCACCTCCTCCCAGCCTCCCATTTCCCTCCCCCTCCTCCCACCCTTCTCCCCCTCCCCCCACTCCTCTCCCCCTCCCTCTCCAGTCCAAAGAGCAGTCAGGGTTCCCTGCCCTGTGGTAAGTCCTAGGTCCTCCCCTCTCCATCCATTTCTAGGAAGGTGAACATCCAAACTGGCTAGGCTCCCACAAGGCCAGCACATTACGTAGGTTCAAAACCCCGTGCCATTGTCCTTGGCACTCATTGTTCGCCATGCTCAGAGAGTCCAGTTTTATCCCATGCTTTTTCAGTCACAGTCCAGCTGGCCTTGGTGAGCTCCCAATAGATGAGCTCCACTGTCTCAGTGGGTGGGTACACCCCTCGTGGTCCTGACTTCTTTGCTCATGTTCTCCCTCCTTCTGCTCCTCATTGGGACCTTGGGAGCTCAGTCCAGTGCTCCAGTGTGGGTCTCTGTCTCTATCTCCATCCATCACCAGATGAAGGTTCTATGATGATAAGTTTAAGTCTCCAACTTTGTTCTTGTCAGAACATCAAGTTTTTAGTAAAAGTGAATTTACAAAATATTTAGGTTAAAATGGATGTAGAGCATTTAGATGGATGCAGTCACAGAAATAACAATGTGTGTGTGTGTGTGTTTTCTTCTGTCTTGTTATGAGAAAATTAGCCTGTTTATGACTAAGATATCATCCCTAAAGCTCAAATGGGAGTTTCATCAAGGCTGTTCACATTCATGCACTTCTAACAGTAACACTATTAATGACACCTAAAACATACACATATCAAGTGTTTTCAGGAATTTTTTTATTTTTCATCATGTCTGATTATCTTTAATTGATTTAATTGATCAATAATTATTAAATAATTGTTCAGGATTTAGAGTTTACAAAGAGTTTTTGTATATGAACTTACTGTGCTATGATAGTAGAGGTTGACAATTTCATTATTCAAGGATTGATAATATCTTTAAAATTGCTACATTATAAAATTTGTGGGAAGAAATGAAAAATCTCCCCCAAAATCTTTAAAGTATTCCAGACCATGAAAAACATTTTGCGTCATTTTTTTTTTGAAAAAACCTTTGTCATCTGTAAATGATAGTTTAACACAGTAATCCCTGTACTTAGGAGGCTGAGGCAGAGGGATTGTAAATTTGAGAACAGTCTATAAAGCCCAACAAATTATAGGCCAGCCTGAGCTACACAATGATACCTCTTCATAGGAAAACAAGGACTGAAAATAGAGTTTGGAAATTGAACATGGCCATCCACATCCCCTCAACAAACAAAATAATTGTATTGAGGTGGTGATGTTACACGAACTGGACACATTTCATTGTTTTCAACTTGACATGTTTGGACATATGAGCACACTGCTGAACGCATCAACATAATCAGAACAGACTATTACCTTCACAAGCTCTCTCATGTGTCTCTTATGTGTGTTAAAATATGAGTATCTAACATAGATCATAGCACAACTCTAAATGCACAGTATGTCTGAACCAGTGTGGGCACAATCTAGAATTCTGTCATGTTTGCAACAGCCTTTGAGCAGACAGTGTTTGTTCGCCACCCTCAAGCTCCTTACTACACAGCTCTGTTTCTTAGACTTGGACTGTGTTAGAACCCTCACCTGAGTTGAGTCATAAAGTTTGGTCCTGGGCCTGGCTTGTTTCATTTTGCACACCATGCTCAAGTTCATCTATGTTTGTCATAGTGTCCGTGTCTGTATTGGTGGTGTTGAGGTGTTGAGGCTTATTCTGTAGTCCCGGCAGTCTTAGAATCTACTTTATAACCAAGGCTAGTATGGTAGTCATCACTACTTAGCCTATGCTGGCCTCAAACTGCTGGCAACCCTCCTATCTCACTATCTGGAGTGCTTAGGTCATGGGCATAAACCATCATGCCCAGGCGATTTACTTCCCTTTAAAGGAAAAACAGTATTCCGTTATGTGCATCTGCTATATTTTTTGTACTGATCTATCCATATTGGACACATCAGATGTTTCCACACATTTACTGTTATAGACAGTGTTGCATAAAGCATGGGTGTACAGGAGTCTCTCTGCATTCTAGAATCTCAATTTCTGAGAGCCGTGCTATTTTTCTTAGTTATAGATACTTAATAAATGCATTTCTCTGAAGACAGTATGCCAGAAAATAACAAGTTTAATTATTCACCTCCTCTGTTGTAGGCAAAAATGTTGAAGGACACTGGTTCTGCTGCGGCATAAAATGTTATTTCATTTTGGACAATAAACACTGGAGTGGATGTAAACAGACCTGCCAGGATTACAGCTTAAAACTTTTGAAGATAGATGATGATGATGAACTGGTACTGTAGACTCTTCCATGTTTTTCTATTCTCTGGGATTTGTGTCTCTAACCCTTGGATAGTGGCATACTGAGTTCAGGCATGTTTTTGAAAGTAAAACCTTCAAGATTGTATATGGTTTGCCAGTAATGTGAGCAAAAGTGTTTAGTAGGAATCCTGGCTTAGTTCAGGACACAGGGTCTTTGACAAAGAGACTCAATATTAAGAGACAACTGTATCTTTGCAATTTCCTCCCTTTCTCAAGTATACACAAGAGAATCCCTCAAAAAATCCTGTTCTCCCTGAATAGGTTTAATGCTTTGGTATAGAATATCCAGTGACTGACATTTATTTATTTCCAGAATGCCAGCTACACCATTTCCTGGAAATTAGTACTTGCTCCTTGGAGTCCAGAAGTGAGACTGTCTGAAATGAGCAGTTAGATGACAATAGAGAAATTAACTGACTTCTGGGCCCATTTTCCAAATTGAACTTACATAAGAACTATGTAATAAATGGTTTTAACTAGTTAGTCCCATGGTGATTTTCACAGAATCTGGTCACAATATTTACTTCATAATATTCTTCATAATGTTTCAAAAAAGTTATCTATCTCTAGAAACGAGTATTTAAAAGAACAAAATGATCAAGGTCCTGACATTTTCTGTTTACATTTTTTTTTTTTTGGTTTTTCGAGACAGGGTTTCTCTGTGGTTTTGGAGCCTGTCCTGGAACTAGCTCTTGTAGACCAGGCTGGTCTCGAACTCACAGAGATCCGCCTGCCTCTGCCTCCCAAGTGCTGGGATTAAAGGCGTGCGCCACCACCGCCCGGCTCTGTTTACATTTATTACTAAAGAAATGTATCCAAATACACAGAAGATATTTTTCTGGAGAAACAGTTGAAGGATCAGCCTGAAACCTCTGTCATTTAGAACATGATGTATAATTTATATAGCAATTTATTTACAAGTTTTTAATTTATATAGCAATTTATTTACAAGTTTGAATAATTATGGTACAAAATGTGTTTTAATTTAATGTAATCACATAATTTCCCATTTGAAACATAAAATATAGATAATCTAAAAATAATATTCCAAAATATATTTAGTAATTTTGGTAATCATTCCATTGGGATGTCATATGTAAAGTACATTAAATATTCCCAAATATATTCCTCTCTCCTCATCAAGCTCTACCACAGAATAACTTCATCTCTGAAGCATGGAGTTTAAAGCATTGCTTTTCAGACAGAATTTTTCAACTTTTAAAATTTTTTTGTTTATTTTACTTCCTGTCTGCTGTTTTCCCTCCGACCTCTCCTTCCAACCTCTCCAGACATTTCCTCCTGACTTCTACCCCTAATCCTTTCCTACTCCTTTTCTGTTCAGCAAAGAGTAGGCTTCCCATGGAATCAACAAAAAATGGGCATGCCAAATTGCAGTAAGAACAAATACCCATCCCTCCGTATTAAGATTGGGAAATGTGACTCAACATAAGGAACAGAGTCTCAAAACCCAGCAATAGAGCTAAAGACAGTTTGTGCTCCCACTGTCAGATGTCCCACAAGAAGATCAAGCTATATAACTGTCCCATATGAAGAATCCAGTAAGTCTCATGCAGGCTCCCTGGTTGTCTCTTCTGACAATGTGACCTCTCATGGATAAAGGGTAGTTGATAGTGTGACTTCTTTTCTGAAGTCCTTGATCACTTTGGTTCCTCCCTCTTCTTCTCTTCAGCAGAAACTTGGTCTAAAGTTTGGCTGAGAGTCTGGGTCTCTATTTCTATCAGTAGCTGGATGAAGCCTCTCTGAAGACCATTCTTTATGAAAGCATTTAGTGCTATGAACTTTCCTCTTCTGACCACTTTCATATAAACCCATAGGTTTATATGTGGTATGCATTCATTTTCATTGAATTGTAAGAAGCCTTTAATTTCTTTATTCCTTCCTTAAACCTTGGTAACATAGTAGATGGTTGTTCAGTTTCCATGAGTTTGTAGGCATTCTATTGTTTGTGTTATTGTTCAAATCTAGCTTTAATCCAAATATGTGATGTATTTTGGAGAAGGTTCCACGAGGTGCTGACAAGAAGATATATTCTTTGTGTGGGTAAAATGTTTTATAGATATTTGTTAGGTCTATTTGGGTTACAATGTCTGTTACATCATTTATCTAGTTGTTGTCTGGATGACTTGTCAATGGATGAGAGATTGGTATTGAAGTCTCCCACTTTTGGGGTTTGATGTGTGATTTATACTTCAGCAATATTTCTTTTACAAATGAGATTGCCCTTCCATTTGGGCCACGTATATTAAAGAATAGAGATATCATCTTGGTAGATTTTTCCTTTCCTGGGTATAAAATGCTCCTTTTCATATCTTTTGACTAAATTTGGTTTGAAGTCTGTTTTGTTAGATATTGGGGTAGCTATACCACCTTGTTTCCTGGGTTCATTTGGATGGAAAAAACTTTTCCAACTCTTAACTCTGAGTCAATGTTGAAGTGTGTTTCTTGTATGTAATATATGAATGGATCCTGTATTTATGTCCATTCTGGTAGACTGTATTTTTTGAAGGATATTGATGCACATTAATGACCAGTAATTATTAATTCCTAATATTTTATTGGTGTTGGTGATGATGTGTTTGTGTATATGTACACATGTGTTTGTGTGTATGTGTGCTTCCCTTCTTTGGGTTTTGCTGTTATGGGATTATCTGTTGCCTGTGTTTTATGTGTGTAGTTTACTTCATTGGGTTGGAATTTTCTTTCAAGTACTTTTGGTAGGACTGATTTGTATATAGATATTGTTGAAATTTCACTTTGTCATGAAATAACTTGTTTTCACAATCTATGGTGATTGAGAGTTTTCCTGGGTTTAGTTGTCTGTACTGGCATCTGTAGTCTCTTAGAATCTGTATGACATCAGTCCAGATCTTTTTGGCTTTTCTCAACTTCTGTTGAGAAGTTAAGTATAATTCTGATAGGTCTGCCTTTAAATGTTACTTGGTATTTTTGACAGTATTTTATTTATCTTCTTATTCTTTTAGTAATGGGAATCAAATTCACAACCCTGCTCATGTTTGGCAAATTTGTTCAACAACGAACAATATCCAAGTGTCAAGATAATAAAAGTTTATTATAGTTGTTATTATATAACAAGAAATTTATACTTCTCTAGGTATAGTGACATATATTTCTTTTTAAAAATGTATTTATTTACTTTTAAAATGATATTTTCTCATTTTAAAAACCTATCCCAGTTCCCACTCCCTTCCCTCCCCTCCTGTTCTCCCTACCTTCCTCCCACTCCAGCCCCCATCTACTTCTCAAAGATAGCAAGGCTTTGCATGGGGAGTCAACAAAGTCTGATACCTGACTTTGAGGCAGGACCAAGGCTGTCCCCCCATACTCAGGCTGAGTTGGGTATCCCTCCGAAAAGGATGGGCTCCAAAATGCCAGCTCAAGCACTAGGGATAAAACCTGGTATCACTGCCTGTGGTCCCAGAGACTTCCCAAGCCACACAACTGTCCTCAAATTCAGGGATCCTAGTTTGGTCTCCTTTGCAGGTTCCTCTGCTATCAGTTCTAAGTTGGTGAGCTCTTACTAGCTCAGATCAACTGTTTCTGTGGCTATCCCCATCATGGTCTTGACCCCTTTGCTCATATTATTGTACTTCCTTCACTTTGATTGGTCTCCAGAAGTTAGACTCAATGAATAACTGGATATCTGCATCTGCTTCCATTAGTTGCTTGATGAAGTCTTTATGATGATAAACAAAGGTCAGTTTAGGCACCCTCTCCACTATTGCTTAACTGGGGTCATCCACGGATGCCTACAGAAGGAGAAAAGATCTTCATCAACCCAACATTGAACAGAGAACTGATCTCCAAAATATATAAAGAACTGAAGAAACTAGACAGTAAAATACCAAATAATTCAATTTAAAGATGGATTACTTATCTTAACAGAGAATTCTCAACAGAAGAATATCAAATGGCTAAAAGAGACATAAGGAAATGCTCAACATTATTAGCCATCAGGGAAATGCAAACCGAATCAATGCTGAGATAGCAATTTACAATAGTCAGAATGGCTAAGATCAAAACCACCAACGATAGCTTATTCTGGAGAGAATGGGAGTATTAACTTGTACAGACACTTCGGAAATCAGTATGGCAAAAGATGCACACTCATACTACACAGACATTTGCTCAACTGTGTTTATAGCAACATTTTTCACAATAGCCAGAACCTGGAAACAGCCTTGGTTCTCCTCAAACAAGTAATGAATACAAAATATGGTACATTTATAGAATGGAGTATTACTCAGTGGTAGAAAAAAATGACAACTTGTTTTTTACCATGCTGCTTTTAATATTGAACTTTATTTTATATGTTTAGTGCTTTATTATGTGGCGTTGGGATTTTCTTTTCTATTTCTTTCTTTCTTTCCTGCGTTTTTTGAGATAGGGTTTCTCAGTAGCTATGGAACCACTCCTGAAACTTACCCTGTAAACTAGGCTGGCCTCAAATTCACAGGTCTCTGCCTCCTGAGTTCTGGGATTAAAGGCATGTGCCACTACCACCCAGAAGGATTTTCTTATCTGATACAGTCTATTTGTATTCTGTAGTCTTCTTGTACCATCTTTCCTAACCTTTTTCTTTAGGTTAGGAAAGTTTTCTTATGTGATTTCATTAAATATAGTCTCTGGGTGTTTGAGTTGGGATTCTTCTCCTGATCCCATTCTTCATAAGTTTGTTCTTTTCAGTGTCCCAGATTTCTCGGATGTCTCATGTTAGGAGTTTTTGAGATTTAACTTTTTCTTTGACCACTGAATTTATTTCTTCTATCATAATTTCAGCATCTGAGATTCTCTCTTCCATCTCTTACATTCTGTTGACAATGCTTGCATCTTTAGTTCTTGTTCACTTACTCAGATTTTCCATTTCCAGAACTCATTTAGTTTGTCTTTTATTTTTTTCATCTTCTTCAATTTCCAGGCCTTTAATAGTTTTCTTCACCTGTGCATTTGTTTTCATGGGTTTTCTTTACATTCTTTAAGGGATTTGTTGATTTTTTTCTAATTCCTGGTTGTCTTTTCTTTGATTTCTTTAAGGAAGTTTCTCATTTCAGTTTCAAGGTCTTCTATCATCTTCATAAAGTTGTTTTCCTGCATTTCTGCTGCCTTGGAATATACAGGTTTTATTGTCATAGGATACCTAGGGTCTTGTGGTGGCCTATGTCTTGACTGTTATTGATTGTGTTCTTAAGCTGGCATTCGGTTATGAAATGATTATAGGTCTAGATACATAATTCTGTGTTTGGTTTTGTTAGATTGATGTTTTGTTCTTTAGTTTCTTTTTCTTTTTTGGTCTCCTCATCTTTTTAGTCTTTATTTCTGGTGATCAATAAGACCTTAGATCTTCCCAAGTTGGGAGCTGGCCTGTTGATTATTAAGTTGACTTTTGTTGTAGTGAGAGGGGGTTGGGTCTCTGTTCTTCTGACTTGTGTGGTTTGGTTTTCTGATTGGTGTGGTCTACACTTCAATAGTAGAATTCTGCCAGAGTTTGAGGAAAGGGCCCAGCAGTAGTGCTGGTGATGAGGTAGAAGGGAGAGGACCTCACAATGGGTCTTGAGGAACAGAATCTGTGAGGTGGTGTGGTTTCACTGGCAGGCAGGACACTCACCTGCTCTTCAGACTGGTCTGGACAGTACCTGAGTCTATGAAGTCTGCTGATGTTGGACAGAATTTGTCATTTTAATGAATTTGGTTTTAAGACAGAGGATCACATAGAATGAGCAATTCCCACATGCTCCTGTAGTCTTCTGAAATGTGCATTTGAATAATTTCATATTTTCATAATTATGTATGGAGCTGGTATGCAATGTTCATTTAGGGTCTGAATAAGGGAGATTGTAAATTCAAGGACAGCCTTGGCCACACAGTGAGACTTTCGCTGAGAAACACAGTCACAAATCATTTCACAAGTCCAGTATCTCTAGAAACCTGATTTTTTTTTTAAAAAAAATAACTTATGTAATTGATCGGTTCTGTCATAAATTAGCTACTAGTGAGAAATTACTTTAAAAATTAACTTTGAGGGACTAGAGGAAAGGACAACAGAGAACAGACATAAAAAATAGCTGAGATGTGTTATGTTGTTCTTTCTCTGAAACAGAAGGAAATTTTATCATCAGATATGTCTTTTCCCTTACAGAAATTCCTCCAGTTCAAAGTTAATCCAAACTATTACTGGATTGGATTATCGTATGATATGAAAAAAAGCAAATGGCAATGGATTGACAATGGCCAATCTAACCTGTGAGTTTCCTGAGCATTCACAACGCTAACAGTGTACATGAGTTGGGAGAATTGTGTGTGATAAAGGATGTCCTTCTGTATATGTGTTGCCTTTATTAGTTAATGAATAAAACTGTTTCGGCTAATGGCTTAGCAGGGTAAAGCTATGTGGGCAATCTGAACAGAGATAGAAAGAGATGCCATATAGCTGCTGAAGGAGTAACATCCTGTACCAGTAACCCACAGCCTTGTGGCAATACACAGATTAATAGAAATGGGTTAATTTCATAGTTAGAGCTAATCAGTAAGAAGTCTAAGGCATTGACCAAACAGTATTGTAATTAATATAAATTTCTGTGAGATTGTGTCTGGGCAGCTAATAAATGAAACCACAGTTTCTGTTTACATGTGGGCAATTCATTTCTCTCATTTCACATGGATTTCCTCATTTTCTATGGAACCCATGGGTAAGAACAAGATGCATATCACATATTTTGGTCAAGTGTTAGACGGGGAGGAGGAATGGTCTAGAAGCTGACCGATAGAGATGGAATATTGAACACACATCAGGACTGTATGTTCTATGATGTGCAGGGCAGAAAATCAAAAGCTTAAGAAGATATGAAATAACTGGATCATGCTGATAGATACAATGAGTATGAGTTTCTCAAACTTTTACTAGGCTTGTTTCTTCTGTAGTTAGTGTATATAATTATTTGTTATTTATAAATATAAGAATTTGTTAATGTGTACTTTCCATTTCAAAGTATTATAGTGTATAATGAGATTGAAGGTTATTTATTTTCAATCTAATGGAATGCTGCTCACTAATTTTCTTAGTAATATTTATTGTAAATATCATAATATACAGAATGACATTTTATCATATTCATCCCCTACTTGCCCTTCCAACCTTTTCCAGACTGTATGCTAATGTAGTCACCCCTAACTCAAGCTTTTATTATTAAGACTGTTCATTGTTATATGGTTATAGGACAATCATCTGAGCAAGCAACCCAAGCAGTAGCTACACTCCCAATAAAGAATGAGTCTTCCATTTCCAACAGCTGTCAGCTAACAATAATGATTCACTAAAGAATAAAGAGCAGCTCCCTATCTATGCTGGGATTTTAGCTGGTATAACTGTGTGTAGGTTGCATATAGGTAACCACAACTGCTGAGTTTGTGATTTCATAGTCGTGTCAAGACCAGAAGACAACATTTCACAGAGCTTTTCCATATCAGCTGGATCTTACATTTTTACACTTCCTCTTCATTGATACTACCTGAGTATTTGTGGTTGCCAGGAGGAGGTTGATGAAGGCATCGCCATAGGACTGTACACATTTTCTCTTCTCTTCAGCATTTTGAGCAATCCTGCCACTCTGTACTGCCCACTATATAAAGAAGCTTCTCTGACCAGGGTTGAAAGAAGTCCTGCTTTAGGGCATAAACGGAAACATTAGAACTGCAGTGTGACCACTTGACCTCTTAGCAATGTGACTGTAGCAGATACAAACCTAGGGCTTGTGACCTCCCCAATGTTCGGCTTTTGATTTAGTTTTTCTTATGCTGAAGATTTATCAGTTTTTCCTCACATCTCCATGGAGTTCTGTGAATTTCATTCTCTTTCAAATATTTTTGATGCACATTCTCATTAGGCTACAAGCTTAAAACTATCTGTGTTGCCCAAGCCATGACATATTGTTCTTTTGTCACATACATTATTTTTCCTTGTTCTTCAGATGTCTTTATTGAAAAAGTATCATAGGAAATCAACTTTAGTGTAAAATTCGTTTTAGTGATCCTTAAACAATTTTACTTCATGATGAAAATTTAACAGTGTAGAATAAATAAAAAGTAGGATTATGATCAAGAAATTATTTTTCTGTTTTTTATTATGTTTTTATTTTTGTGTGAGTGTATGTGCATTTGTGTGATCATGTTACAGCACATCTGTAGTTAGAGGATCGTTGAAGTAGTCATTTCTCTACTTCTACTGTGTGGTATCTCAGGGCTAAACTCTGGTAGTCTGATTTGATAGCAAAGGCTTCTATCCACTGAGTCATGTCACTGGCCCAAGATCATTTTTTATGAATTTAGAGAAAATAAAAAACCTTTAGTAAAACTTCTACAAGTGATTATATATTCTATTATTTGACCAATAAATTTTATTTTTAAAATCATTAACTATATAAATATATGCTTCAAATTGTAATAACTGTCCATTATATGGTTTTTTTTTTACAGTGATTTGACAACAGTGAAATCATTACAGGAAAGTACAGGCTGTGCATTTCTCAGTTATAAAGGAATACATCCCAATGACTGTGGTAGAAACCACCCCTGTATCTGTGAAAGGAGAATGGATAAATTCCCTCATCCAGTGTGCAGTATGGAGGAAAAGTAAAAATAGAACGTTTGTCATCTTTCTTGGTTTCATGTGATGATTTGTGACTACTTAACGATTGAGTGTCTTAACCACAAGTCTCAGTCAGCTGAGCAAACAGATTAATGGATGGGAAAGGGAAGCAATATTCTTCTGAAACCTGACTTAACACAGCAGAAGCCATCTTACTTCCTGTAAACACAACAGCTTATATGTGGAGAATGGATGCCATTTGATCCAAGCTCTGAGAAATCATTTTCTTTGTTTCCTGAATGGGATGTGAATCCAAATACAGGGCACACATGTCCTTCCCACTAAGATAATTCATTTTTATATCCCATGCTCTAGCATCACAAATAAGAACTAGGAGGAAATTGTGGGTTTCTGTTTGTTAGCTGTTTGGTTACTGCTTGTTATTTTTTGAATGTAGAATTTATTTTTTAGAAACATTTCTTTGCTGTAAAATATATTCCAAGATTTGACAAATAGTGGCTGGGATAGTTTAAGGAACTCATATACCCATCTATAGTCCTTATGTGTTCTCGTCCTCTCTCTCTCTCTCTCTCTCTCTCTCTCTCTCTCTCTCTCTCTCTGTCTGTCTCTGTCTCTGTCTCTGTCTCTCTCTCTCTCTCTTTCTCTCTCTCTCATTTGTTCATATGTTGGGATCATGTAGATGCAGTAATCTTAGTTGACGCAAACTGGATGTTATAGCTAAAACTCAGTTTCTTACAGGTATATGAGTTTGGGTACAACCTAAACTGCATAGTAGGTTTGAGGTAGTTTAGGGCTTCAGAGTGAGACTTCTCACAAAGAATAATAATAATGTTGATGGTAATAATAAAACTAAACTTCCCATAAATATTTTCTATAAGCAAGTAATTTCTTTTTAGCATCATACTAAAACAATAAAACTCAAGAAATTTAGTGTTTACCAAGTAATGTTAGCTATTATATAGCCCATATTCATATTTGTCAGTTTTCTACCTCACATCACTGTCAGAATTTCCTCACATTTACAATCATCAGTGTTTTCATTTGTAATGTCCTTTAGATATAAAGTTTTTATTTAGTTGTGATGTCTGTTTCAGGACCTTGACATTAAAAAAAACTCAAAATTAATTTGTAGTATGTATATGACAAAATGTACCCAGTCTAAGTCATTTGAAATGTGAGTTTTATGAACTATGTACAGCTCTTTAAAAATCATTGTGTAGACTAGTTTTATGTCAACTTGACACAAATTAGATAGATCTGGGGGCGGGGGGGGGATCTCTCTTGAGAAAGTGCCTCAAAAAGATCTGGCTGTATGCAAACCTATAGGGAATTTTCTGGATTAGTGTTTGATGGGAGGGTTCCATCAAGTTGTGAGTGATGCCATCCCAGGACTAGTGTTCCTGAATTCCATCAGAAAGGAAGCTGAGAAATCTATGGGGAGCTTCCAGTAACCGGAATTCCTACATGGTCTCTGCGTCAGCTTCTCCCTCCTGGCCCATTAGGTTTTAGTGCCTATCTTGACTTCGTTTAGTGATGGAGTGTTATTTGGAATGTTAGCAAAACAATTTCTTTCCTCCCAAATTGCTTTGGTCATGTGTGTTTCATCATAGCAATAGAAACCCTAAGACAACAATCAAAACTTAAAAGGAAAATTACTTTTACCACCCAAAGTTCTTTTGTCACTTTTGGCCTCACCACCTGGGCAAAGGTAAGCAGGTATATGCTCTCTTGTACTGTAAATTAATTAGGCATTCGATAGTTTTATATACTAAGCCCAATTTTGTGATTGGCTCCATATTTCTTTGTATGTTTTATTGTTATTATTATTACTTATCTAGTTCAATCTTATTTCATGGGTTAGTGATTCATTGTTTTTGTTACTAAACACTTTCCTATCACTCAAATTTTCTACAATATTTGTCATTCACACATTCATATATGGTGTGTTTCTAAGTATTAACCATTATTAATGAACTTCTTATGCTAATTTGTGTTAGTCACTGTGTGAATATATATTTAATTCTATTGGTAGACATCTAAAACTCTGATATTAGAATCCTTATGTTAAGTGCAATTTCATTTAACAAGAGCCTTCCAACATGTTTCACATGGCTTACATCAGCTTATTTTCTTTGTACCACAGGAGATTTCCCTTTGTCCCTCGTCTTTGCCAATACTTGATGGTCTCAATGCTTTGGATTTTTACCTTTGTGATAAATTTAGGACTTTTGCATTTCTCTAAAAACTGATGATATCAACCATCCTATTTCAAATACTTATATGTCACATATATGTTTTGTTTTGTCAAATATTTGTTCATTATTTTCTTACCACACATTGGCTTTGTCTGTCCTCTAACTGTAACATTGTAAAAGGTTTGTGTAGCAATATAATGTAACATTGCATTTGATAGAGCTATGTGTTAAGCATTTTCTACTGTTTAGTCTGCATAATCTGAAATAAATCATTCAGAAATAAAATTAAACATTTCGTTCAAGTTTGTCTTATCACTTTTTATGCTTTCATAATAAGTATTATAAAAAGTTTCTTATTTCAAATTTGCATAGATTTTTAACAGTTTTATTTTTCCAAGATATTATAGTCTTAGCTTACATATTTAGCTCAAGGTAATATTTTTTCCTTTATTTAAATGTTCCTGTGTGTGTGTTTCTGGGTTATCACGTGCCATGTATGTATGGGTCCTTCACAGATTAGAAGAGGGCATTGGATCCCCTGGACTTCACTTTTAGGAGAATTTGAGTTACCCATGTACTGGGAACTGAACTCAGGACCTCTGTAACAGTAATATGCTCCCTCCTCTCATTTAAAAACCATAATAGATATTTATTGAGTACTTCCTATGTGCCCATTAATGCACTAGACACTAAAATCAACTTTACTATTTGGAGAGAGATGTTTGACTATTTTATTTTGAATAAAAATTTAATAGAAATAGATATTCTTAATACAAAGTGTTCTGATTATGGCTTACATTTCCACATCTCCTTCCAAATTCTCCCTACTTCTCTCACTCATCCAAATTCACATTCTTTCTTTTTCTCTCTATTGTGGGTATAATCATTCATCTAAATAATAATAATAATAAGCTAAAGTTAGACAAAATTAACAAACAAAACACAATAGAACAAAGTGAATGGAAGAAAAAGAGCCAAAGAAAAAGTCCAAGAAACTCATACAGAGAGACAGACACATTTGCACACACAGAAATCCCTTAACAGCAAAAAACTTGAAACAGTAGTAAAGGACCTGTAAGAAAGGAAAAAAAAAAACTCTAACATAGCATTATGAGAAAAACAAACTCAGAAAATGTCACCGAATTCTTTTTGTGTTGATCTTCTACTGCTGGGCATGTGGCCTGATCGTAAGAGATGCTTACAGTATCTTATTCTCATTGTTGTTTGCATTTTCCTAATGAATAAGGCTGTTGAACAATTCTTATGTGTATCTCAACCATTGGCAATTACTCTGTTGAGAATTCTCTGTTTAAATCTCTGATGTAGGAGGCTGTGTTTTCATCTCCCGGCTGCCCAGACATGCAAAATAATCACACAGAAACTATATTATTTAATTCACTGCTTGGCCAATCACTTAAGCATATTGCTAGCTAGATCTTATGTCAGAATTAACCAATTTTCAGTATTTTATATTTTATCACGAGGCTCGTGGCCTGCTGGCAATGTTCCAGCTGACTACTCACATCTTTCCCCTCAACATGGCATCTCTTGACTCTGCCTTCTTTCTTCCAGCATTCAGTTTATTTTCCCTGCCTAGCTCTGTTCTGCCCTGCTATAGGCCCAAAGCAGTTTTTTTATTCATTAATCAACAAAAGCAACACATAGACAGAAGTTCTTCCCACACCAAATCTCTACACTATTTTTAATTGTATTATTTTGTATTATGGTGTCTAGTTTCTTGATTTCTTTATATATTTTGGAGATTAGTCCCCTGTGACATGTGATGTTGGTAAAGATCATTTTCCATTCTGCAGGGTGCCATTTTTGTCATATTTAAAGTGTCCTTTGCCTGGAAGTGCAAATCAAAATGACTCTGAGATACTATTTTATACTTACCAAAATGGCTATGGTCAAAAACACTAATGGTAGCTTATGTTGGAAAGGATGAAGACTAAGGGAAACATTCCTCCACATCTGGTGGGAGTGAAAACTCCTACAGTCACTTTGAAAATTGGTATGACAGTTTCTCAGAAAATTGGGACTCAATCTACCTCAAGACTCAGCCATACCAATCTTGAGCATATACCCACAAGACACTTGCTCAAGTATGTTTATATCATTATTTGTAATAGTCAGAACTTGGAACAATCTAGATGTCCCCCAACCAAAGAATGGATAGAGAAAATCTGGTAAATTTACATAATGTAGTATTACTCAGTGGTGGAAAAAAATGACATGATGAAATTTGCAGGCAAATTGATGGAACTAGAAAAAAATATCCTGAGTGAAGCACCTGAGGCCCAGAAAGACAAAGATATTATATACTCACTCATATGTGGATATTAGCTATAAATTAAAGAATAACCAGGCTACAATTCACAGTCTCAGACAAGGTAGCTAACAGGGAAGGTCCAAAAGAGAGAGGAGTGGATTTCACTGAGAACAGGAAATAGATGATATCTTCTGGGTAAACTGGGGTAGGGGAAGATGTGGTAATAGGAACATGAGGAATTTTGGTTGGAAGATTGGGGTCAGGATGTAGGGAGAGAATAATGAAAAAGATATCCTGAAAGGGTGGGCCATTTAGGGGCTATAGAGAAACCTGGTGCCAGGGAAACTCCCAGGATTCCACAAGGAGGATTCCAGATAAGACTCCTATAGAAGGTGCCTGGACTGGTTTTCCTCTTGATTAGATTGGTGACTACCCTAATTGCCATCAGAGAGCTTTCATCTAGTAACTTATGAAATCAGATGCAGAGATTCACAGCCAAACACTGGGACAAGCTCTGGGAATCCTCTTTAAGAGAGGGTGGAGGAATAGAATTAGCCAGG